CCCTCTCAATCAATATATAACCCAGCTTTAAAATGGATTACAAATTTCCCAAGAGGATGCACACACTGATCTAAATACCATGTAACGACCACATGACCTTAACCTGATTTCAAAAACACCAATCTATCTCTGAATTTGTTTTCATAATGTAATTGCTCCCTATGTTAAATAGCACCGGTGACAAAACAGAACACGGAGGGACTCCACAGACCAACAGCCAAGGTGTTGAACAGGAGACTCCCAGCACCACCTTGTGAGCTGTCTTCTCCAGAAAGATCTAAAGTCTTTGTAAAATAATGTCTCCAAGTTCCATCCCAGATAGATGGACCCAAGGATACTATCACCAATTATACCGAAAGTTGCTTGAAAAGTCCAGCAAAACCAACAGGGTTACACAAACTCTGCTCCATTCCTGGCATAGGTCATCCACCCAAGTGACTAAACTCTCTTCATCCCATAACCAAGTCTGAAGCTAGATTGAAATGGATATAGATATATAAATTCAGGAATCATTGGAGCTGAGAAACCAGCACACAGTATTTTCCCAAGAGGTGAATACTGGAGACTGGCTGATAATTATCTAATACAGTAGGATTTAAGGAGGGGTTCTTCAGTAATCATATTTTAATTTTCTCCTTTAGGGCATGCTGCTTGGCCATGAGGAGGCATTCGTCGCTTCCCTTGCCCACTCAACCAGTTCCCCTCTGACTGCTTTTATAAGTCAGCCAAGGCTTAAAATGGTCCGTTTCCCCACTCCAACAGACAGATATTAACAAGGGGCACGCTCAACAGCCTCCGGGTCTCGTCGGGGGGGGCGCCTCACCAGCAACCTCCGGAGTTCGTCAGGGAGGGGGGGCACCTCAGCCGGAGCCTCCAGATTGCGTCAGGGAGGGGGGCGCCACTCCAGAAGCCTCCGGTCTCGTCAAGGGGGGAGGCGCCTCACCAACAGCCTCCAGATCTCATCAGGAAGGGGAAGGCGGGTGCCACACCAGCAACTCTGTGGAATTCATCAGGGAGGGGGCCGCCGCTCCAGTGGCCTCCAGGTCTCATCCAAGAGGGAGGAAGCAACACGCCAGCTACTCTCTGGGTCTTCTCCCTTCCAATGACATTCTCCGCTGGTGATGGGTCCCCCAGGGCTGAGGAACTACCTCCTGTGGCAAGGCTCTCCGAGCCATGGAGCTCTGCAGAAGCCGGAAAACTAACGAAAACTCCACTTCCAGCCCCACGTTCGAGCTCCGGCTGTAGCCCCACAGACCCGTGCTCAGCACTCAGCCCGGCAGCCGTCATCAAGGGAGCGAGGGGGGGGGGATGAAAAAGAGAACAGACCCAGAGAAAGGGAGAGAAAGGAAGAAAAGAGGAGGCAAAGTGAAAGGCAAGAAAGAAAGAAGAAATATAAAAGCCAAGAGGCGAGTTTAGTACATTAATGCTACAAAATGTAGTGTACAACAGTTAAACTCCAGTTGTCCATAGTTCACCTTTCATCTGAGGCAGAACATGGTTGTTACCAGCTCCAGGATCTTAAATCAGCCTCAAACTACGGTGGTGCCTCGACTTACAAACTTAATTAGTTCAGGAAGATGGTCGTAACTCGAAATGGTCGTAACTCGAAGCACTATTTCCCATGGGGAATACATTGAAATGCAATTAATCCGTTCCGACCAAAGGGAAAAAAATCATCAAAAATAAAAAATCACTGCT